TGGGTGCCCACGGATGCGTCCCTCCAGCAGGTTGGCACGTCGGGAGCTCTGGAAGCGCGGGCTTGCGTAACGCCGTGTTTTGACCGGAGCGGGCGCTGGGGGAAAGCGGCGAAGGACAATGCCACCGCCGCCGTCACCACCACCGTCACCGCCGGGGCTCATCCCCCGGCTCCCACCGGACCCTTCCCCACCGACCCTCCCTGGGGACGTGGCTGGAAAGCGCTCGCGGCCGCTGCTGGGCTTTGTGCCGGTGCGCTGGGCTCCCCAGCCGCTTCCCGTCTGCCATCGCAGGGATCCAGGCGTTAATGCGCGCGGCGTCTCCCCGTGGAGGGTCATGTTGTTGTCTCTGGCGCTTGGCGAGCGCGGCTCGGGGAAGCCGACATCGCTGGCGACGAGCCAGGCTGTGACCAGGGCAGGAGCGGGCAGCCCTGCCTATCCCGGCCTCTCGCCGGGCACCGGTGCTCCTGCAGACCGGCTCCGGTAAAACCCAGCTCGGCGGGAGTCTGCGTTCATGCCCAGAGGCTTGGGGGGGATTTTTGGGGAGGGTCCTGGCCCGGGCACGCGGCACCCCCAGCCATGGGGCTGGAGGGGCGGTGGGTGCCGGGAGGCTGTGTGCCGCAGCCGCGGGGCAGAGGAGCTGTTTTTTAGCCAAACTGGAGGGAGGACCCATCCCACCAAGGATCCTGCGCTTCCCAGCGAGCTCGTGGAGGTGGCGGGTGCTCCGCGTCCCCCAAAAGCCGGGTGGCCGTGGTGTGCCAGGCACTCCCGGGAACAGCTGCGGATCCCAGCCGGGCTCCTGGCCCGTCGCAGCGGGGGGTGTTGGGGTGCAACACGGGACGAGGAGCTGAGGGGCACCCTCCCCGTTTGGGTCATTTTGGGCGGGGGTCCTCACCCCGGCTCAGGTCTGCTCCCAGCAGCTTCCCCGCCGCAGGATTACCGGGGTGGCACCGGGGATGGCCGGCGCGGAGGCAAAGGTCGCCGTGGAGGGGACCTGGCAGCGGTGGCGGGAGCAGCGGGGCGGCTCCTCCCTGCTCCCACCCTGCGCGGGGATGCCTGGGGGCTCCCCCCGCCCCGGCAGGTGGTTCTGCTCAGCGCCGGCGGCAGCGGGAAGGGGAGCTGGCACCGATCTGACGGCTTGGCCGCCGCCTCGCCGGGCTTGTTTGGGGCTGGGTGACCTTTGCAGGCTCCCTCCAGCCCCTGCAGTGATGTCCCGGCTAGGGGCAGAGTGGGCAGCCCGCCCGTCCCCGAGGGTCCCGGCAGCTGGGGCGGTGGGGGATGAGGGACCCCCGGCTCCCACCCCACCGGCGTTTTGGGGGCCGGTGGCCGCACGGCTGGGGGGGAGGGCTCAGCCCCTTTCCCGGCACGGCCGGCTCCAGACCCCCGGCAGCCTGGCTTCCCTCCTTTTTCTTTCTTTTTTTAAATTTCCTTCCCCCGCGAGGTCTGCGGGAGATCCCTCCCCCTGCCAAGGCCTGGCAGCCCGCGCTCTCCACAGCTCCCACCGTGCTCTCGGCCGGAGCTGGTTGCTGGTGCCCGTGTCCCGCCTGGTTTGGGCACTTTCTTACTGCTGGTCCCCATCTGCTCCCCCCGGGCCGTGCCGCTCCGCTGTGCCGTGCCGTGCTCCGTGGCTGCCGTGTCCTGCTGGGGTCGGCTGCCTCTCGGCACAGTGCTGGGGGATTTTTTTTCCTGCTCTTGGCCATCCCGCAGGACTGCCGTGGCTCTTGGCATGGCATCCCTACTCATGCCGGATTTTTGTGCTTTGAACCACACTGTCTCTCTCTAAAGTCGCTGCTCGTGTTTTCTAGAGGGAGGCAAATTTGCCTGGAATGCCGGTGGTCCCGGCAGCGATGCCGGTGCTCAGCCACGACTGGCAGCGGGGGCAATGCCATCCCCGGGTGGGCAGCAAGAGCCGAGGAGCTGCCAGCCCCTCAGCCAGGAGCCCACTGGGTGCCCCGGTCAGGCTCCCCGCCTCCAGCCTGCCACAGGCAGCGGAGCCCCGCGGTTCGGCACAGCCTTGGAGAAGCCCTCGGCCACCTGCGGTGCCCCACGGCGACGCAGGATCCCTCGGGGTGACGGCAGCTGCCCGTGCCAGCTGGCCAGAGCCGCGACCGGTTGTTTTGCACTGCCGTGGCGTGAAAGACAGGCCCGACGGGACGCTGCCCTCCTCCCCCGGGGGCCGGGGCTGAAACCGCGCGGCAAGAGGGACCGGCCTGGGCCCGGGGTCTGAGCAGGCTCCCGGGCTGCTAGGCCTTTAAATTCCTTTTAAAAGAAATTTCGGAGAAGTCCGGGGGTGAGGGGGAGGGACGGAGGCACAGCAGGCGATGCTGGGGACAGGGAGCCTGAGCAGCGGTTTTCCCTTGAGCCTCGCTCTTGGGATCCTGGCTTGCGGGGGTAAATCCCGGGGGGCTGCGGGAGAGGATCCGGCTGCTGCTCGGCAGTGCTCGGTGCCGGCTGCTTGCCTCCGTACCGCCCACGGCCGGCCTGGCACAGAGGGCAGATCCTCCCTTGGCGGCCACGAATGCCTGGTGCTGTGTGCAAGCCGTATATTAATGTAATTACTATGTTTGGCCTTAATTACCCTTTTTTTTTTCTCCCCCCCTTTGTTGGCATTCCTAGGTCCGGGCAGTGACCTGGCAACCTGGCGAAGATGCCTCTTCACGGCGCGAGAGCCGCGGCTCTCCTGGCTTGGGTAAGGCCTCCCTCTCAGCCGCCGCAGCTTGCTCTGCAGGTGGGACGTGCGGCCCGGGTGGAACCCAGCCGCTGCCAGCACCGGCGGCTCCCCGGGGGCACGATGCCGGGGCCGGTCGAGGCGGGGATTGTGGCTGGGGCAGGTGGGTGATTGCAGGAGAAGCCTTGCTCACCGTTCCTGTCGAGTAACCAGAAATGCCGGAACAGCTTGGTCCGGCCGTGGAAACTGCCTGGGAGCCGGAGCTGAGCCTGGCACAGGGAGCAGGCCTGGGAAGCGAGCAGCAGCTGGACTATAAAGGGGCTGTTGGATCTGCCTGCAAAGCGGTGCCGTGTCTGCGCAAAGCATCGCGGCGTGATAAACGAGACCCGTGCCGGCCCCGCCGGCTGTGGAGCCGTAGGGATCGCGGTCAGCTTTTTGCCTGGGCAGGGCGGGGGTGGTCAGAAGGGCTGGCTTTGCCCTCGCACCCAGACTGGTCTCGCTGTCCCCTGCCAGGACTGGGAGGTGGCGGGTGGCACAGCACGGCGCCATGTTGGCTTCTGCCGTCTGACCGTCTCACCCCACTTCTAGGTGAACAGCACGAAGGTTTGTACCGATCCCCTCGATGACCTGTCACAGCTCCAGGACTGTAGCGTCTTCATCAGGATCATCAACAAAATGTGAGTACGGGGAGCCGGCGCGCGCTCCAAACCACCCGACTGGCTGGAAGGCGGCGGTGAGTGCACACTGGGCTGCCTCCCGCAGCCACGGCCGCAGCCCCCGACAGCCTCCACCGGCCGCCAGCGCGGTCCCTGTCTGGGCAGGGTGGGAGTGGGGGTCCTGGGATATTCCTCCTCTGGCAGACCTGGCGCTGGATCTCCGGCTCCTCCGAGCGAGGCTCCGGCAAAGCACAGCACCTGCGTAAGCAGCGCTTGCCGCCGGGCGTGCTCTGAAGTCCGCTGCAGTGAAAGATGGGGCTCGTGCCTTTGCAGCATGGCTCCTTTGCACCTAAACCCACCACACGCGGGACGATGAGCCTTTCGGGCTGCCCTGCTTGGAAGCCTCCATACATCGATCATGTACCAGGGCTCTGCCGGCAGCTCCGGCTCAAGAGAAACCTGCTGGAGGCAGGTGAGAGAGGGTCTGCTCCCCTGCCTGCCCCACAGCCCTGCAGGCGGGGGCTGCCTGTTGCGTGGCCGGGGTCTGCCTGCGGAGCGCGGGGCAGAGCTGTCGGGCCCCGCGGAGCTGCCCAGGTAGGGTTTTGGCCAGAGTTTCTGTCGTTTGAGGCGCTTTATCTCATCTGGCACTGACGTCTGGGCTTGCTCCTGGCATTGAAGCAGAGCCGAGCGCCGATGCCAGCGGCGCAGGGGCTCCTGGAGCCGCATGGGGGATACTTTATTTCCATAAATGCTGCTCGGGTGAGGAAACAGCCCGGCAAGTTTTCCTGAGCCGCAGCCTTGGGATCCTGAGGAAGCCTTGGGTCTGTAAAGCAGCTTAAAGAATGACAGCGCCCGTCCCACGAAGCGCTCCTGTTCTCTGGGGACGTCGGGCTGCTTCCAAGTATGGGGTGGGCAGGACTGAGCTTGTTTGCTCTGTCCCGGGACCCGAGGTGGCCGGGCAGGCCTGGGAGGAATGCCTCTGTCAGGAGCCGCGTTCATTGCCTGGGAGCAAGGGCGATTAAAACCTGCAAGCCATAATGGGCATTGGAGCTCGGACCGAGCGTGCTCTGCTCTGGCTGCGCATCGTTAACGAGCTGGTGAGGCAAATTGGGAGGGCGTGAGGCTGCCGCTCAGCGCCGAGCGCGGCATTGCTTTCAAACCCTTCCGGCGGGAGGCTCTGTGGGAGCTTGTCTGCTATAATTACCTCCTTCGCGGCGTAAGGAGAGCCTGCTCGGAGCAGGGATGTGCCCGCGGTGGGTGGGGAGGAAGGAGCCGCCTGCACTGGGGATATATTTAGTCAGACCTGGTTAATCTCCTGGGCCTGCGCTCCAGCTCAGATTAGCCGGGATCACCGCCGGCGTGTGCTCGCTAAACAGGCCTGACCGTAGCTTGATAAGCGGGGCGGCAGTGGGGTGGCCGCTGCGGCAGCCGGCTGAGCTGCAGGGGAGCTCCCCGTGGCGCCGGGGGCCCGGCTGGGAAATCCGTGAGGATGAGGAAATCCTCGTGCCAGCCCCTTCCCGGGGCAAGGTCCCTGCTTTCGGTGCCTTGGGAGTAACCGAAGGTACCAAAGGAGCGCCGATGGAGTACGGCTGGCGTGGGTTTTAGGCACACGGTCTCTGAACGGTGGCTGTTGAAGAAGAGCGTGGTCTTGAGTAAGAACTGCAAGAGGCAGCTTCAGCCTCCCCCAAAATCCAGCGGGGGCTCCCGGGCAGCGACCCGGAGGGGAGCGGGGCCTGCAGGTCTCCAAAATGCCATTTCCCGCAAACGGCGACTCTTTGCGATAGCAAGAAAAACGCCCGGCTGTAGGACGGCCCCCGCGGTGCCTCCCCGGCCGGCGGGGATGCCGCCAGCTCCTCTGCCGTGCCGGATGCCGGGGCCGGCCGGCAGAGGGGGGAGGGGGGGGGGGCGG